GATGGTGCGGACGAGGTGGACCCGAATCTCGACCTTGTCAAGGGCCGTGGCGGCGCACTATTGCGTGAAAAGATGGTGGAAGCGGCGTCCAAAGCCTTCATTGTCGTGGCTGACGATAGTAAATTGGTATCTGGGCTTGGCGGCAGTGGCCTCGCTATGCCTGTGGAGGTGGTTCAGTTCTGCTGGAAATACAATTTGCTCCGCCTCAGCGAGCTCTTCAAGGAATTGGACTGCGAGGCCACACTGAGATTGGGGGCTGGTGACAAGCCTTATGTGACTGATAATGGGAACTACATTGTGGATTTGTACTTCAAGACTCCCATAAAAGATGGGTTCGCGGCCGGGAAGGAAATCTCTGCCCTCGAAGGGGTGGTGGAGCACGGGCTGTTTCTTGGTATGGCGACCTCAGTGATCATTGCCGGAAAAAATGGAGTGGAGGTGATGACTAAGTGAGAGGTGAGAAATGGAAAATTTTTTTTCCCGTTGCTGTGATTATAATAAATATAAGAGGTTATTCATGGGGTCAATTTGTTGAAAAATTTTTGTACGTTGATGGAATTGTAGACTAGTGGTACAATTTGCTGCTGACAAGAGAAGTTGTACAATTTGCTTTTTGCTTGTTAATTGCAAAAGGTTGAATAATTTGAAATGTATTGTTTCTTGCAATGTATAATAGATTGTAGAATGCAATGCATTTTGGATCTAAAATTGGCAGTTAGCCATTTTATATTCAAATGAAGTGCAACCATTTCTTGATTCTACTTTTCATTTCTTTGGTAACTCTTGCCGCGCAAGAGAAGTTGCTAGCTTATTTGGGTTGAACTTGGTTTAATGAGTAATTTACCTCTACGGATTGCTGTGTTAAAATTAGTTACCAGAGGCATTATTAGAATCAGTGCTACACCATTGCTCCAGAAGCACATCGAGGTGGTTGAGACGTCTCACTTAGGCTGCTAGGTAGTGGGGTTGGGCATTTGTATGTATGCACCTACATTGATTGGGAGTGGAGTGCAGCATAGCTCACCATTGCCTTACGTTTTTCACATCATTGGCTACACTTTCCATTCTGAGTGCCTTAGGAGGAAGACTAGTAGTGGCCTCCTTACTGTTGCTTATTTGAAGCAATAACATTTTAGTCTATAATCAGTTGAATTAAGGTGATTAAATCATAAGTCAAATAGCAATACCAGGACTTGGGTTTGCAGGTTAGCAGGGGATTTTAAGTGCTTACGTTGTCTATACATTTTTTCTCATATCTGGGTTGCTGTAATTGAAAGTATGATTAATTATACAACGAAAGCCTTATGAAGCTATGACCTATGGTGAAGTTTATGAAATTGGGATTACACAATTCATGCATATATAGCAGTAGGAGGTTGTTCCTCTCCTTCTTTCCCTTGGACTTCACTGTATCCACTACCAGCCTCCTGGTTTCGCCTGCACTACTATTGTATGTTGTGCTGTTTTAAGAAATTTGAGTAAGGTTACTATAAATTATTATCATGATCTCCTCGATCACTTGTCTGATACTGCCATTGTTCCTGACAATGCCTTCCATTAAAGAGAATTTTATGATAATATATGATGATGCTTCTCGCCTTCTCCTGTTAGTCTTTGTTTTATCAACTTTAAAGCACATAATAAGAAGTGAAGGGAAGAAATCTTAATTTGTCAGTACTCAGGATCAGAATTTGTAGTTTGTTCTTCTAATCCAAAACTTGAAACCTTCTTTTCCTTTTTCTTGTTTTCCTGTAATTTTTTATACATCCGTATTCATAAACGATGGTGCAAGAGGGGATAGTTGTCTCCTCTCTCAAATCTCTCTCCAATTGTCAAACATGGTATATACCTCTAACTTAAGAGTTTCAAATTCTCACCGGATGAGAGTCTGGAGACCCTTGGGGGCCTTGTTTTCGGTATTAAGGGGAAAAAAATGGTGTAACATTGGGGCTTAAATTATATGAAACATGAGACCAAATGATTTCACCAAATAACGAAAACCTATGTACTGAAAATAATCATACATAATAAAGATCTCTCAACAAAAATCATCCTACACCTACATCTGTAACTTTATTCCTTTATGTATAACTGATATCATGTCTAAGAATCAACAACGAATTGGAATCTAAACACAAACATCCTGAACATAACACACTAGTAAATCCGTGAAGGCTGAGAACCTGAGTGGTCGCTTCCTATTTCCACATAGCCATAGCAATGGACATGATCAGTACAGCAATCCACTGAAACTTATCTGGCAGGAATGTTGCAGCTGGAGATTTAGAATTTAACAGAGTCAGTAATGAAGAAGGGTTGTTGGTTGTTGACTTCCACTAATATAATTTACGCATCAATGGATGATTTATGTCGACTGTGTAGAAATTTAAGCTTTGAAAAACAGAGTTAGGTAGCTGCCTTTTTTAGAAGGGTGTTAGAAGTTGAAAAGGAATTAGGGGTCTGACTAAAAAGAAGGGTACAATGTTCCTCACTCACTTCATGTTTTCTTGTTTGATCTTTGAGAAAATGCTAACACAAAAAGGTGGGAAAATAACAAGAGTTCAATCTCACCTTTTCCAGCATCTAAACCTGTGCTTGTTTGTGTATTTGCTACCGTAATCCCAAGACTAGCACAATCCGACCCAAGAGTACCTTCCAAAACCATACAAAAAAGAAGAGGATTTCAATAAAACCCCTAGAAATTCTTTTTCTTTTTTTCTCTTTTTTTTCCATATAAAATTTCAAGCTTGTGTTCTTACAATCACTGTAACATGGGAAGAAAGTTTTGTTCAGAAGATTTGAGTATCCAGGTTTGCATTCGCATTCATGTTTGTATGCTGTTGTCTGCTTGCATGTCCCTTCTCCACAGTACATCCAATAGCAAGCTATAGAAAGAAAATCAACCAAAACAAGAGGGATCAGGAAAACAGAACAGAAGCAAAGAACTGAAAAAATAATCTGATGATTTCTCAAGATGATTACGGTCAAAGGCAGATGTATTATGTGGAACTTCTTTCTCAGGAACTGGAGGTGGAGCTGGCTGGCAAGAGTAATTTAGAGTACCTGCAAAAACAACATCAAATGTCTCCTTTTTTATGAACAGCGTCAAAAACTGCTCCACTCAGAAGTAAGACTAAGCTATCAGGTGTGAGAGCTACATAATCAAAATTTACTTGTAAGATCTCTTCTTATTTTTTCCCCTTTTTTTTCTCTTGTATCACAAAATCTGTTGCTTTAATTTTCAGTCGTTTGGAATCTCTTATAGCTTTTGAATAGAGCTGTTTGAGTAGATCTTCTATACAAGAGTTGAATCATTCATATAAAATAATCATAAAAATTTTAATTTTGACTAAAAAGATATAAATTTGTATCTTCAACATTTAGCTCTTAAAACCTGAAAAATACTTTTAGAAAAGCCAAAAGCACTTTTCAAAAAAGTGTGTTTGGCCAACTTCAACTTTTGTAGCAAAGAACTTTTTCCGTTAGGTTGAACAAGCAAAAAATTGATATAGGATATAGAGGAAGAATAGAAAACTTACAGTTGGGAATAACGCATGGAAGAAACTTGAGATCATCATTAACATCATTATCTTTTGTTCTCTTCCAACCAGGCTCGCATTCACAGATGTAATTCAATGGATACTTTATGTTTGCTTTGCATGTTCCTTTCCCACATTCCACTTCATCACATACCTTGTCTGTTTTTTTTTTTTTTTTTTGGGGGGGGGGGGGCAAAAAATTCACCAGTTAAAACCTCAGATGTTACAAAAATTGGTACCGGAAAGAATGAAAGAAACAGAAAAGATACCATAGAACGGAGAAAGAGCAGGTGATAAAATATCATCTCCAAGAGCAGCCATGGGAAGAAATACCAAGAAAACCGCAATAGAAGCCACAGAAATAAAGGATGCCATTTTCTTCAAGAAAGAGAGGGACTGAAAATACTTGAAGATGAGACAGTGTGTTAGTTTTAGTCCAAATGGGTGTTTATATAAGTTCGAAAGCTTTGAACTTTCCCAGCAACCAAACAACAGGTAGAATAAAGAAATAAAAGAAAGGACCATGTACCGAAAAAAATAATAATAAAAGAGAGGAAGAGGACCATTTTTCCTTTGGTTTTAAATTTCCTTAGCAGAAGCTTCTGCAGACTTACGATCAATTCAACCCTTTCTTGCGTTCAAGTCGTCGTTCTTTCAATCTATTATTAGTTTACAGCGGCCCATTCATGGCCGCATTGTTTGATAAATTATGTTTTTCTAGATATGGAATACAAAGACAATATTATGGTAATTTTATAAATTTATAAGTAACTTTTATCTTGTAGTTTAAATTTAAAGTTCAAATCTTAAATCTAACAAAAAAAAATCATTTCGTTAAATTTATTAGACTAATGTGAGGTGCACTCTTAATTAAAATTGCAAGAAAAATTAGTTTAATATATATATGGGTGGTGTTATAAA